GGCGCGCTACCGTTACCCCCGCCCGTCGGCCGGGCCGCTGGCGGCCTCGCTGGTCCCGCTTGGTTGAAAGGATGATAGTTCATAAGGGTCACGCCGTCAACGGCGCCGTGCATCTCGGCGTTGAAGGGCGAAATTTCCCCCGAGATGCCAGGCTTGGCCGGACCTTCGGCGGCAGGGCCAGGGACAGCGAAATGCGGTTGCAAAGCTGGCCTGGCGGGAGTTTCCTGCGAAAGTTGGGGCATATCGACCAAAGCTTTCTCGATGAACTGACCAGATTACATACCCATGGTCTTTGTCATCTCTTTTGCCCTTTCTTCCAAGGCCGCCTCTCGGTCAGCTGCCTGCGATCGAGACCGCATATGTTGATCTTTCTCTTTCAAGGATTCGGCGATGGCAGCTTTGAGCTCTGTCACCTCTTTACTCTGATGCGGCTGCGCGAGCCAACGCTTCTTCTGGTTCACGAACGTTGGCGGCTGACTTTTCTGAGCTCAGTCGAAGCTGTTCCTCAGCTTGCCCCTTTAATCTTTGCACGTTGCAATTGTCAGCGTAAATGTCATCAAGGAGCTTCTGCTGTTGGGCCAGAAGGTTGGGGTTGGCGCTATCTCGCTTCCATTGCTCATCCCACGCTGCCTGTTCTACTGGCAAGCTCTTCGTTTGGGCGCGCGCGACGCAACGCTTCGTGCTCATATCAAAGTGGCCTTCGCAACTTGGTGATCCGCAAGTGGCGCATAAGCCAGCCTTCGGTTTTGAACATACTGAACAACTTCCTGCAGGGCCCTCTTCGCACGGGCTGAGGTTGCTGGGCAGCCCTCGCCCGCGGCAGTGGCGGCGCCCCGCCTGCTGGGGGCGCCGAGCTAGGCCGGGCCTGCGACGACGTAGCACCAGACGGCTGCGCCGCCGGTGAGGGTCGTCTGCTCGCCCCTGCCGGCTTGGCCGGCAGGCGCGCTCCGTCGCCTGATTGTATTTGGCGAAGCGATGCCCTAGCGCGTTCATGCTTCTTGAGCTCATCTTGATATTGCTTGTTCTGGTCAGCCATTTTCGCAGCGGCGTGTTCAGCAGCCTGAACGCGTAGCTCGCCCTGCCGTTTGGCCTCATGAGCACGCGCCTGAGCTTGGCCCCAGGCTTCTGAAATGCGCTTCGAGTGGCTCTCGATTTGCCCCCTTGTCTGCAAATCTTTCGCTCGGAGAGCCTCTGCCGCTTTGGCCTCTGCGTTGGCCGCTTCCAGCCTGGCGGTGCAGAGTTGGTCTTGGAGCTCCTTTCTTCCCTGCTCTGCTGTGGCTTTCGCGCCCCCCCCCCCCACCCCCCACCCCCCTTCTAGCCTCGCCGCCGCGACAGCGGCGTAGGCGGGCTCGGCGTCTACAGCTTGGCTGCGCTCCGCCAGGGCAGCACGTCGCTCAGAAGAAAATATCCCAAGAGATTTGTCCTCGGCTTCTTCTGCGCGCTGCTGGGCAGCCACGGCCTGAGAGGACATTTGGGCCAGCAGCTCTTGTTCTCGCCGACTGGCAGCTTGGGCCATGGCGATCCTATCGGCCTCGAACTTCTTCTGGGCGTCGGCAATAACTGCATTCATATTTTCTCGATCCAGCCGGGCCTGTTCGGCCCTTTGGGCCTCTAGGGCCATGGTCTCTTGCTGTCTCTGGGCCTCTTGGGTCCTGGCTTGGTCCTGCATGGCCTGGATCAAAAGGTACTGGCAGCTATGTTCTTCCATCTGGATGCAGTCCTCACACAACCGCTGATTGCCACGCTCGGGGCACGCGCTGGAACAGTCCCCACGCGCTGGGCGCCTGCAAAGCCCCCCCGTTTTGCGGGCTTTCCCCGGGCACCTGTCTTCCGCCTGGGGCGGGAAGCCAGGGCCCTGATTCCAGCGCGCCTCGCGCGTGGAAATGGCACTGGTGCTCCTCGAAGTCGATCGGGCGCCAGAACGTGGGATCATGGGCCGTCCCCGGCTCGAAGCCGATGATCGAGGGCGCACGTGTACGCTCTCCGGTGGCTTGGCCACCTCGCGGAGCGCCTCATCCCGTTCATCCTGCGCAATCAATTCCGGGAGTGTGACTGGGGGATCAGACGGGTCGTCATCCTCAGCTACCGCGGGGACCGACGGCTGCCAATCGCCTGGGGCGACGGCAGACCGATAGAATCCCTCCTGAAGCGGGGAAGCATTCAAATCGTAATCTTCGTTCCTGTGCTTCTTGGGCTGAGGAGCCGGCGTTCGGCCCGTGGACTCCCGGCCATGCTTGGCATGATGTTGGGAACTCGATGCAACCTCTGCCGCCTGGGGCGGAGTCTCAGCGATTGGGAGAACGGGGGTCGGTATTGGTGTCCCCCATGGCTCGGGCACTGCTGGGACCTCGCGGACTAGGTCGCTGGTCGTGGAGTCTAGATCTGGTTCCGCAAACGCCTCCCCAAGAGCTTCCAAATGATCGTAATCAACGGTTTCCTGTCCTGGGGATGACCCTCCGCCTTGGGCGGGGCAGTCGGCAGCGTTCAACAACGGTAAAACTCGGCTTGGGGACATCTCATACGCGGCATACTCTCTGTTATCCTCCATAGAGCTGACCTCGTCTTCATCGTCAAGCTGTTCGTCGCTGTCTTGACCGGGCTGCCCGTTCAAGGCGATCGGAACGGGGTGAGTCTCGGGCGGTCGATCCCAACCGTCTGGGACGGCGGGGACCATACCGCTCGGCTCGTCCACAAACTTGCGGCCGGCTGGCTGGGCCAGCGGCCGTCGAGATAGGGTGCGCGGCTATAGGGCTGGAATGCACCGTTTCTGGGGACTCAGCAATCCAAGATGAGAAGGCTCCTCGCCTGGCGTTCACGGCTGGGCCGTTCCGCCTCATCGGGGTCGGGGTCGGGTCTGACCACGCTCGCTGATCGGAGCACGAGTGGGAGAATCGTCGGCAGACAAATCTATGACTCCTCTGATAACTCCTCCCCGAGGAACCCGAGTGAGGTTAGAAGAGGGAAGAGAGCGGCCCTCCCCGGGGCCGCAGTCCTGATGATCTTGCCCGCCATGAAGTTCATGATGTAGACTCGCGGGCAATTCGGCTGTCTCAACATAGCTCAATCCCCTAGCGACTTGGTCGCGGGTTTCGGCTGATAACCAGTCCTTCCTCTGAGAATCAGGGTAAGATGCCAAAGGAACTATGGTCTTTTGATCTCCAACACTGATATCGTGGGCTACATGCTCAGCGAGAGAGGGTTTGGGACGAGGCATGGTTAAAACAATGGATAATATGTATAGCAAACGGTAAGAAGCACGGGAATGGAGGAGGCCGGCTGGCCGACGCCCGTGCGCGGGCGCGCGGCAGCGCGCTCCTTGTCAGGCTTGATACCAAACAGCTGCTAGTGTATCAGTGTCAAGCAAGGCACGCGGCAGAAGAGGCAACTAGAAGATGAGGCGGAGAGGAGCATATTTACTCTTGGGGCGCGGCCTGCTCCCCACCCGAGTGGCCTCTGCAGCGGGAGCTACTCTCTAAGCGAGCAGTACGTGAGCAGCCTTCTTCCGTATTGCCCTCGACCTTGCGGTGACTTTGTGCAGCTTGCTGGTCGACGGCAACGAAAACCACAATGTAGGTATCTCTTGTCGTGCTCTCTTTCTTCCTCCTCCTCCGCCTCCTCCTCCTCCTCTTCCTCCTCCTCCTCCTCCTCGTCCTCCTCCTCCAAATCAACTCATATTCCCTCCATGTCGTGGTCTCTTCGTCTTGGTCGTCCGCCTCATACTTGTCCTCCTCCAGCGTCTCATCTCCACTATCGACTCTCCGTCACACATCTTTGCAATGATCTTATCGAACCAATCCGAGGGCATACGCCGACAAACACGCGCCTGTCACCTTGTGATCCATCAAGCAAGCCACCCCCCCCGGGGCTGATGAATAGACCCAGCGGAGCGCGAAACAATTCTTCGAATCGCGCCCGCCAAGGGGTCGTCGCGGGCGCCGTCGAGGAGATCGCGTACCCCCCTGCACGGCAGCCTCAAAACGACTGCCCTTCGCCTTCCTACGCCCGGGCGGTCAAGTGTAGTCTGCGATTTTGTTAGCGCTGCGCGCTTGGGCGACTTCCCCGACTCCGCGCGAATCCATGCGCCTAGAAGCCGTCGTCTCTCAGCGTGGTCTTCCCGCCGCTACAGGCGTGTCAAAGTATTGATGATAATGTGTTCGCCGCGTCGCCTCTGCTTGCCAGCCCGGTTCGGGGCCTCAGTTTCCGCTGCAACGTTGCGGAGCGCAGCGCCGAGCTCTTCCACCGGCAGCGCCCGCCCAAGCGCCGCCGGCCAGCTTGCGCAAGGAATCTGCCAATTCACGCGCGCTCCACCCGAGAGGGTTTCCTGACAGACTTGGACCGGACAAAAGACAGCGCAACACGTGACTGAACGCACAAATGACTCGTTGGCTTTACCAGCAAATCCCCCACTCCAGAACTTTGACAAATAAGAAGAACGTTTCTCACGACGTAGTCGAAGAAAGTCTTGCCATGAGAAGTTGAACATGTGAAGCGTTCGGCGCGGGATGACTCCTGGAACGCGTTTCGGATGCCCCACCCGCTCCGCATGCGCAGATTCAAGAAGGCTTCTCCAATTGCGTTTCTGGCCATGCCACCGTAGTCTCCGAGCGCGCGCGATTCTCCAAAGCGCGCAGTGCTACCAATCTCGCCATTGATATCCGTGCCCAGGATCAGGGCGTCACCATTCTCCAACTGAGCTTTCAAAGCTCCCCCCAGAGATGCAAGCTGGTTAGAGAAAGACATCCATGCCATGGCCGGCATGCCGAAAATAAGCAGAGCTCAACAGAAACAGTTTCCGCGCAAGTGCTGATTTACAATAATCAAAAAGTTCTTGTGAATTGTCAGGCGTTCTATGCGACCACTGCGTCGAGAATGAATAAGCACGCGTACTCCGCATGCCCCGCCCTCGCCGGGCGAGAACAGCAGCCTATGGCCCAGGTAAACAATGTCGGACTCCCCGTTCGAGAAGTCACCGCTCACGCCTACCATCAAGCTCTTTCTTTTTCCGGCGCGACGCAAACCCCGCTCCGATGGTGAATCCTCTGGCCAGCCTGCGTCATATCACAAAGGGCAGTGCTCCCGAACGACGTTGCGCCAGGAAAGCTGGAACGTCAACTGAAGCGAACCGCAAAACTCAAACTCCGGCACCAAATGCACCGAGGAGGGAGCAGCAGAGTTTCAGCGACGTCCGAGGCGAGGAAAGGAAGAAGGGGAGGAGGACAAGCGATCCGGACAAACGCATTGCGTGCCGACCGCTGACGGCTACCAGCCGTTTATATAAAACACACAATTGCTCCATCCAGACACGACGCTACAACAATCCTCCCATCAAGCTCTTTCGAATTAAGAGCACGTCCCAATGGTCATGCCATAGTTCGAGCTGGCTGAAAAGCTCTGCCAACTCAGCCCATCTGATCCCCGAGACTCCACGACAGAATGCTCAACGAATGGGCTGCCAAAGCCTGGCCCTCCTCATCTCACATCGCAGAGGCATCAGTCTGAAAGCCTCCTCTACTTCCCCCATCATGTCGGAAGACGTGTACTTGTCAGCCAAGGGCTCTCAAAATATGAGGTTGCTCGCAGGGTCCATCTTACACACCGGGCCCTTCTCCTGGTTGCTCGTGACTCGGAGGACCTCGCAGGACGACCATCGCGAGATGAGGCTCTCTGCCCCAATATCGGCTTCAATATCTCCATCAGACGCCGGACTTTCTTGGACGCCTTGCGCTCATGAGCGGAGAGGTCGACGTTCATCCACACGTCCACCCATTGAACTTTATACTTTTGTCGCTGTTGTCCTTGTAACCGTTGATGGCGTCCCACATCAACGAGTTACTGTGGAAGGTCATCTTGCGCGTCCTGCCCACCCTGGGAAGCAAGGCTCGTCAGTACTGAATCTCCCCATCGAGTCAAATAGCCTTCAAGGCGTTCTTCATATCCGCGCCCTCCGTGTAGGGATGGACCCCCCCGATACACACCATAGTCCTCTCACTCACTGGCAGATGATACTGGTTTCGACCATCCCCAACTCCATGACCTCCTCCCCCCGGAATCCCCGAAGAAGTCCCAGTAGTTCTGGTAGCCGATGCTCTACTCGCGAACCGACCCTCGAGCAAGGTCAGGCGGCCCTCGAAAATGTCCATGCGCTGGTCGAACTCCCCGAATTTTGGCTGGTTGAACGTCTGGTTGTCCACCTGCGCCCGGAACATCACCAGCAGCTTATCGTCCATGCTCTGAGCGTTCCGAAACTCACCCATAAACTCCTCGTTCGTCCTGGCCTTCTTGGCTGCCATGGCGCGCCGGCGGTAGCGGTGCTGAGCGCAGCAGGCGTGACAGCCTGGGTGGACACTGGAGTGACGCTACAATGTATGGTTGCCTTGAGTGCAGTTTTAACCATTGCTTGAATCAAAATGCCTACGGAGATGGACGGGTCGTTTTCAAAATGTGGCTTCCACCTTAATGCCGCACACTTTCGTCCCAAAGATCTGCAACAGTTTCACGGATTGAGGGAGTGCCGTTTTCAAATTGTGGCTCTCGCCTTAGCGCGATCACAATCTGCAGCACTTTCGAAAAACGTACGGTTGAGGCCCAAGGAGGGGTGTTCTGGCATGACTAAAGATTGTCAGGACACAACAGTCGCACTGGCTCGCGGTGTCGAAGTCCCACGAACGGTGTGGTGTTCTGTTGTGATTTCGGATTGTCAGCACGCAACAATCACGCTGGCGGAGTTGACATCCCAATCATGGTGTTTTGTCTCGGTTGGAGAATACCAAGCGGTTGTCTTCTAATGGGCCACTTCATGCAATGAAGAAAAATGCTTGTAGGGACCTATGAAGAAGGAACTTTGAAGGAGGGTGAGGGTTGATTGCAACATCGTTGATGCGTCTTGGGTTTGCACTGTCACCGGTCCTCCTCATCGTCCTCTCCGCGCAGCAGAGGACAACATTCTGGCCGTAAACGGGGGAGTGCCATACCCCCTTGCGGCTCCCCTTGGTGCTGAAACGATATCCCTCCTCCTCTTCCTCCTCCAACTTCCTGCTGCTCCTCCTTCCTGCTCCTTCCTGCTCCTCCTCCTCCTCCTCCTCCTCCTCCTCCTCCTCCGAGAGAGAGAGAGAGAGAGAGAGAGACATCCTCGCAATCTGCTCTGACAGCGGAGACGTCCAGACAAGCAAACAGGCAAACCGTCTGAGACATCCCCATAATCTGGGCGCGATCGAGCCCGTGAAAGCACCCTGGCGAACCAGCGCCTCGCTCGAAACATCCTCACAATTTGTTCCGAAAGCAGAGAAGTCCAAACAACCAAACAAGCAATCCGCCTGAAACATCCCCGCATTTGGGGCTCGAACGGGCCGGTGAAAACACCCTGATACCAACGCCTGTCTCGAGACATCCCCACAATCCGTGAGCGAACCAGGCCCGTGAAAGCCTCGAAAGTCGGCTCCCCCTTGGGGTTGCTGAAACCAACGCCTCGCTCGAGATATCCTCACACTGTGCTTTGAAAGCGAAGAAATCCAAGCAGCCGAGCAGGCACACCACCTGAGACATCCTCGCAATCTGGGCGCGAACGGCCCGCGAAAACACCATGTCGGCTCCCCCTTCGGAGTGCTGACACCCGCGAACGGGCCGTGGCAAACACCCCGGCGGCTCCCCTTTGTGGGTGCTGAAGCCAGCGCCTCGCTAGAGACATCCTCGCAATCTGCCCTGACAGCGGAGAAGTCCAAGCAAGCAAACAGGCAAACCGCCTGAGACATCCCCACAATCTGATCGCGAACGGGCCCGTGACAAACAACCCAACGGCTCCCCCTTGAGGGTGCTGAAGCCAGCGCCTCGCTAGAGATATCCTCGCAATCTGCCCTGACTGCGGAAGAGTCCAAGCAACCAAACAAGCAAACCGCCTCAGACATCCCCACAATCTGGGCGCGAACGGGCCCGTGACAAATACCCTGGCGGCTCCCCCTTGAGGGTGCTGATGCCAGCGCCTGGCTCGAGACATCCTCGCAATCTGCTCTGCGAGAAGTCCAAGCAAGCAAGCGAGCAAACCGCCTGAGACATCCCACAATCTGGGCGCGACCGGCCCCGTGAAAACGCCTTGGCGGCTCCGCCGGGGGCGTGCTGGAACCAGCGCGTGGCTCGAGATATCCTCACGCTCTGCTCTGAAAGCAAAGAATCACAAGCAGCCGAACGGGCAAACCGCCTCAGGCATCCCCACAATCTGGGCGCTAACGGCCCCATGGAAAACATCCCGGCGGCTCCCCCTTGGGGGTGCTGAAACCAGCGCCTGGCTCGAGACATCCTCACAATCTGCTCGGTGTGAGTGAGACTGAGTGTGAGTAAGTAGAAATACGAGTGACTCTGACCTCGAATGAGTATGAGTGCGAGCGGGCCCAAGTCTGAGGTAGTCTGAATGTGAATGAGTCTGAATGCGAGTGAGTCAGCATGTGGCCCAAGACGGTCCCAAGACTGCCGAAAAAGGCTCCGACACGGTTCGGGAGGCCACGAACGCGACCGCAGAGGGCTCTTGGAGGACCTCCGGGAAGGCCAGGGGGGACCTCCGGGAGGACTGACTCGCTTTAATTTGTTGAATCATTTTCGCGTTCCTGCCTGTTCTTTTCGGGCCTCCGTCAGCCCACGATGACCCAAGAGGCCTCCAAGATGGCCTGGAGACGGCCAGAGAGGCCCCGAAGAGGCTCCCAAAAAAGGCACCATATACCCTCCGAGGCCTCGAGAAAAGGCCCCAACACAGCCCAACGACGGCCCAAAGAGCCCCCCGGAGGCCCCGAGAGGCCTCTAAGATGCCCCAGAAGGCATCGAAGGGGCCCCCCAAGACGACCTAGGAGAGGAGGAGAGAAGGAGAGGAATGGAGAAACACGCTGACACGTTTGAAGGATTACGAGGGAGGTTCTGGTGGAAGATGCGGCCAATCTGCAAGAACTCCGGGGAAAGCGTATGACGACGGTGAAGAAGAGCGCTGCGAGCCGTTGCTTCGCCGCCCCCACATGCGCAGCACATCTCTGCGGCTGTGAAGTCGGCGTCGTCATAGAAAGGCGAATAGATACAAAACAAAGGATAATCCGTCCACCATTCGCAGCCTCCGCCGTTGATCCCCACTGCTTCCTCTGAGGTGTCCGCGCAAATCGCCTGCACTGCTACTTTATATCTGTCCTGCATGCTGGCAGGACGAACGCGCGAGAGACGATGACGAGGACAAGCTGGGAATGGGTGGTACGTAGCACACACCCATATCAAACGATGAAGAGCTACGAGTAGCTAAGAAACCACGACATGCTTAAAAACAGTACAAAGAACGATGACGACGAAGTCCCCCATTGGGGGCCGTTCCGGGTTGATTCGCCTTTTCCTCCTCTTTCCGCCTTCTCTCCTCCCTCCTCCTCTTTCGTCATCCTCTTTCTCCTACATAATACTCCAACACAACTTCACCATAGCATCTGGGACCCAACCAAAGCTAGACACACTACTTAATCCCATTAGTGGTCCAAACCGACCGGAGCTATACTTATGTACAACTCTGATATACAAAGGCTGCCACTACATCTCCGTTTCAATCGTGTTATGGCTACAACCTTGGTGGGATCCTCACAGCTCTCCACCAACCTCAATACAGCTACGCGCACGGTATAATCCTACCAGAGCTCTGGAGATTGCCGAATCGTACAAGGTCTACACATATGTTTAAATCCTGTTGGATAATCAACTCTAGAAAGTACAGCACGGCTGCAGCTATAACATATTGGATAAGAATAGCTGGCGAGATCTTTTCTTCGGATGTTTGCCTTGATGCGTTGAGCCCGAACGTCAACGTACAGAGTCTCTTGAAGTAAACCTTGCGGGGGTCTCTGGATTCCTGCAGCCCCCTTCGTGCCGCCCAGCTCCTCAGCTAGGCACGACGCTCGAATCCTGTTCAAGCTCCGAAGCTACTCGACAGTCCACGGCGCTCTGGACCGCGCAGTTGGTCGAGCACTGCAATCCACAAGCACGCGCCATCACCGCGCTGACGACCGTAGCCCGCCCACGGCCATGAAAGCGCGGGGCGGAAGACTGCGCGCCAAAATGGCCACCTGCGCCCTTGATTCAGACCTTTGCCTGAAGGGCACTTGCGAGAGGCGCGTCCGAGAGCTCGACGCCCATCATATACAGCCCTCTGAGCATCGCCGCCTGGTCGAAGAACTTCGCCCCCAAGTCCGCCGGGTCTGACTTCCCGGGAACCTTGGCCAGCTGCAACCGGCCGTCCTTCAGTGCCTTCTGCACCCACAGCGTCGGCGTCTCGAGGTGTCGGACTTTGCCGCAACCCCGTCGTTGCATGATGCCAAGAGCCGCTGCCGAATCGCTCTAGATGCGAAATGTTCACTTCTCTGCCACAGTGACTGCATGCCGATGGCCCTGCTGGCTGCTCGCACGCAGCCATAGAACTCAGCTTCGCCCGAGCTCATGGAGATGGGGATCTGAGTCGTCGAGGCTGTCACGATCAAGTGCTGCCCGTGCTTGATCACGATCGAACTGGTGCTCCTCCGCGTGATCGGGCAGCCTGCCCAGTCGGTGTCCGAGTAGACGTCCATCACCGTCGGTGTCCGCTGACGGCCCCACCTCCAAATGGCGCGCGGCGCCCCGATCAAGAAGCGCCCAGCGCACTTCAGGAGGCGCAGGTGTCGCTCCGTCGGCTTCGGCATGCCGCGAGCGCACTCCTTGGCCGTGAACTGCACCTCCGGCCGGTCGAGCGCCAAGTAGCCCAGCCTCATGCACGCGCTGCGGTACTCCGCTGCCTCGCGCTCATTCAGCTCGCGCTCGACCTCAGGTGTCAGCTTCTGGGTCAACCCTGGCGTGCTCGGCGACTTCGCAGTGCCGGGGTCCATCCCGAGCTGTGCGTGCAGGATCTGCGCGTGCCTGGGATCCGCCTCGCACTCGATGACCTCGCCCTCTTGGCTCCATCGGTCTCGCCAGCGCACTACCCTGTTGAGGCAAGTGATTTCCTTCGCGTCGGTAGGCGCCGGCCCGAGCGCGCCCCTGTCCTTCGCGATGAACTTCGTCTTCAGCGCCTCGCAGATCGACTCGGCCCCGTCCCGAGAGTCCTCGAGCAAGAAGTCATCGCCTGCAGATCCTTGCGGCAGTAAACGCAGGGGGAGAAGGCCGACTGGTCACAGCCAACGCCGACGACAGTCTCGGCGGTCGTGAGCTCGAAGTTCTGGCCAGCGTCGCGCGTCCCGTAAAGCGCCATCCGCAAGAGCTCACGCGTACCGATCTCCTGCGACATCGGGTCCTCCTCGGTGAGCTTGCTGTAGACCGTCCTCTTGATATCGCAGTGCGGGTGCGCCCGCGAGATGTCCAGGAAGCGCAGCACGCGACCCTCGGACGGGTCGCTCGACGCCACCATGCTGCAGATGAGCCGAAGGCATTCCAGCGGCGGGGTCGCCGCGAACACCGCGCCGATGTCGTCCCCGGCGATGGTGCTCTGCACCTTGGTCTCCTGCGCGACGATCCTGGATCTGCAGTCCGGCCGGTCGGCGTCGCCCTTGTCGATGTCGACCCAGCGCGCGCTGAGGGGCCTGCGTCCAAGCTCGCGCCGGCAGCCCTCGTCCTTCGCGTAGGCCCACGCGCCGAGCTGCGCCGCGAAGTCCATCTCCAGGCGCCTCGCTGCCTTCGCCAGCGCGGGGCCCAGCGGAAGGCCGGTGAGGTCATCGTAGAACTCGGTCCTCAAGGTGTCGCGCCACCCCCCGACGAAGTCCTTCAGGCTGATCTCCTCGTCGTCCACGTTTGGCCCGGCATCCAGGGCCGAAAGCGCGAGCGCCTCCTTGTTCCCGAAGTGCCAGCGGAGACCGCGAAGGATGGCACGGAGGAGCTTCGCCGGGATCCCTCTCCGCCACGCGCGTGTTCCCGCCGACGAAGGTGGAGTGCTCGTGCTTGTTGCCAATGCTGGTGTCGATGGGGCAGCGCTTGCAGACCTCCTCCAACGCCTCCTTGATGTTGCTCATCCACCCTGTCGGCTTCTTGGCGAGCCTGTCGCCGTGCGCGTCCGCGACCGCCGGGCCGAACGCGCGCTGGTCGCCCCGCCCGACCTCGACGCCGGGGAGGGCCATCACGTCCTTCACGATGTCCAGGTCCCAGCTGTCCGCGCCCCAGGGGCGATCGCGCAAGAACGCGCGGTCGTTCTTCACCTGCAGCGTGTAGAGCACCATCACGAACCTCAAGCGCTCGTACCCGATGGCGTAGGCCTCGCGCTGCTGCTCGGTGTCCTCGTTCAGGCACTTCAGCATGGAGAACGCCACGCCTCGTCCACGGGGGCCCCCCGCGCCGCAGGAGGCTCCTCCGGCGCGCGCCGCGCTGGCCGCGTGCCGCGGTGGGCCCGCGCACCGTCGTCGGCCGATCGGAAATCATCGTTTTCTTCTGGGCCACCGGCCCGGGGACTGCCCCCTTCCTCCGCGCGCCGTGCGAGGGCTCGAGCTGCTGCCGCGCAGGCGTCCATGTCCCTTACTGAGGGCATGCCGATCCCCCACTGGGGTCAGGCCTCGCTGAGGCTCCGCCGCCGCGACCTTCGCGGCGGCACTCCGCGCCGTGGATTGACCCGTTCGACGGTAGCTCCGCTACCAATGTCGATGATGTGTTTTTTCACCGCAAGCGGTTCTGCCTTGCTGCAAGCAGGTCGAAAGAGGCCAAGCCCCCCCTCCGCCCTGGCGTCGGGAGGGCTTGTAGCAGTAAGCGGCGTCGGGAAGAGAGGTTGGTGGATGTGGCAGCTGCGAACTTCAACAGATACATAAGACGTTGAATGAGGCGAGCGTGGCATATGCACATATGCGCACGTGTACAACGGACAAGCATAATAATATCGCGCTTACAGTACACGCGCGCTTGCCAGAACAGCGCGCGCGCTTTTCGGTACTAGCGCATGCCAGGGCGGCCTCACAACCTCGTGCGAGCACGGGTCCAAGGGTCCAAATCCGGCGCGATCACAGTCTAAGGGCCCCACTTTACACCCGCCGGCACGATCAGTGTGAGCCACGCTCCACGCTGGATAACACTTTCCATGAGAGCAGCGTGAGATAGGAGCACGACAGAAGGTGGGTGGAGAAGGAAACGCACCAAACGCGCCACGCGCACCATGCGCATGGCGCCTCCCAAGGTTTTTTGCAACCTGTCATCCATAAGTGTCTCATAGGCATGGCTGATTTGTCTCCCCAGTTGGTTGGCAGCTTCCTGCGCCAAGCATCCCACGCGCATCACCGATGGCGGCGCGAATGCGCACGCCGGATTCTACGCCCCATAAGCAAGCCAGGGTCTCCGCTTGTAGTGTAGATTAACGTACTCGTTTGATAACTTTACTCGATAAAAAATTTAGGGTGAACATGATCACTGTTCCCCTCGATGGTTCCAAGCCCTGCGAGTCCATTGAACCTAGCCCTCTGTGACCTGAAAAATTCGATTCGACCCTTGACTATATCCTCTTCTCCTGCCCGGCTGGCGTCAGTAACAATAAGAACGATCATATCTTCTTTACATTTAACAGCTCCACCTTTAAATACTAACACGCAGTCAGCGGACTGAGTTGCTTCTTCTAATGCACGGTTGGCTTCTTTGAGATGGAGTACCTTAGCGTGACGCAGGGCTGTCTGCAGTCTGCTTACACGATACAATAGCTCTGGTTTGCGCGCGGGCGTGCAACCCATGACAAAGCACCCGCGACCGATCTAAGCTGTGCTGTCTCGCCCTCATTGCAGGTTCTCGTGAGGGGACTGTCTCTGGGATAGGGATGCCGCTTCGATTTTCTCAATATTGACCTTGGCCGTGATACTCACCATGCAATCTTCATATTGAACAACTTCTAAACCGCAATAACGTAACTTACCCGACTTGATCTCGCGAGTATCAAACTCTGCTAATACCGAATCGATGACTCTCTGACTTTTTTCCATCGGCGGCCCACAATATGTCATCCACATGTGTACTCAACATACACGTGATTTCGTTCTTGTCATTGCGAATACTGAAATTATCCCGGCAAAACAAACTAACACCGATGTGTATAAGCATATCTGGAAGCAATCCCCTTAAGATTCACGTGATAATCCAGTTGTTGAACTCTGCTGTTCTCGCAGTCGCAGTCGCATTCGCAATGACAGTCGCAGTGGCAA